TCATGAGGATGAACTCAACCTAGTTTATGAACTTGTTTAAGTTCCTAAGTCAGCACATGAAGTTCTTATTGTTAAAGTCCAAGGCTGACTATATTATATCATAAGGATATATATATATATATATATCTTTAGCTCAATATCACAATTAATAACTGTAACTTGAATAAATTATGAAGCTGCACTTTTTAATCATAGGTTCTTATTAGAAGTCATAATATATGACTCTTCTCCCCCCTCAACCTGCACATTTGGGGTCAGTAAACATACATGTTGTAATCGTAAATTACATTATTTGCATTTTTTATGCTTTAACATGTCCAATAAACAAGCAATCATGCATGCTGTAATAAAAAGTCTTTCTAGCTTGTAAATATAAGAACAAAAATTGGACAAGCGAAATGACTCAATAAAAATCTTGAATGTGCAAAGAAATTTTGAAATTTCTAATATGTAACACTTACTTGACTTGTAGAGCAGAATTAATTTATACTTGGGAAGAATTGTGCTTGATGAGATAGAAAGCCGAGAAAGAATTTAGCTTCTTACAAATGATGTTAAGTCCTTGTTGTGACTCAAGAGCAAATGTGGAGAGAAAAAATCTAGCCTGTCATAAATGATGCCAGCAAAGGAATTTACTTTATTGTCTTCGTAAGCTATTGAGCTTTATGGTTAGGGCCCGTAGCCTTTTAAAATTGGATGGAGGAGTTGTTCATAGCTCGTATATAATTTTGATGGAGGAGCTCACCATAAAGGGATTTCTTTAGAACCCACCCCACATCGAGTCCCTGCACTTTTCCATCTCTAAAATAGCAATTGATATTTATAATCATAAGTGCAAATGAGCAAAGTAGCATGATTATGATATATAAAAAATGAGATAGCAAAATGATATCATGAATGTAAAAACAAGTGCAGAATGAATGGAAAAATGTGGAATGAATGCAAAGCATGCAGAAAGCAATTAATAATAAATTTTAATATAATATTGGACCAAGCTTGGACCAAAGCTCTAATTTGCTACGAAGCTCAATTACTTTCTTGACAACCTATATCACAACGACTTGAAAAGAGGAGAAATTAAAGCATCCAGTCTTATAATCAAGAAAATATAGTGTAAAATAAATAAGAGAAAAAGATTGTGAGTTCATCTTTTTTAATTTTCAAGACAATACATGGCTGATGAACTAAATTTATATACATATTAATCTAAAATTTATACCTTAATATTATTGATATTTGAATGAGTTTTATGAAAATTTACTTAATTTTGCATAATTTTCATTCTGTGCTAGAGAGGACTTAATTGGAAAAAGTCACAATTTTTAGGAGTAAGTTGCAAAGATATGAAATTTGAAGATTAAATTGTGTAGAATCCAAAAGTAAGGGGTCGGGACTGTAATTTTGCCGTTAACAGAATTTGCAGAGAAGGACAAAAACCCGACACGAACTCTTGAGGATGGATGCAGGAAAAGTGTCGGCATCTTGTTGATGGTGTTGACACCTTACAGCTCGTGCTGCACATCTTTCAGCTCATGCTCGACCTCTGCACCTCGTGTTCAAGTTCTACACTTCGTGCTTGGCCTCTGCAGCTCGTGGCTGACCTCGGTAGTCGACCTCTGCACCTCGTGTTCAAGTTCTGCACTTCGTGCTTGGCCTCTACAGCTCGTGGCTGACCTCGGCAGTAAGTGTTGGAGCTCGGAAGCTCGTGCTAAGTTATGCACTTCGGGCTCAACCTTGGTAGAGTGAGCTCTATAGCTCGTGGTTGACCTCGGCATCTCATGTTTGAGCTCTGCACTTTGTGATCGACCCCTGCACTTTGTGCTCGACCTTTGCATCTCATGGTTGACCTCGGCAGCTCGTGTTTGAGCTCTGCAGCTCGTGGTTGAGTTATGCACTTCGTGCTCAACTTCTGAAGCTCGTGGCTCACCTCGGCAACTTGTGTTTGGTTTCTACACTTTGTGCTCGACCTCAACAGCAAGTGTGAGCTCTGCAGCTCATGTTTGAACTCTACACTTCGTGCTCGACCTTTGGAGCTCGTGGCTCACCTCGACAGCTCGTGTTTGGTTCTGCACTTTGTGCTCGACCTCGGCAGCAAGTGTTTGAGCTCTGCAACTCATGGTTGACTTCAGCAGCTCATGTTTGATCTCTGCCCTTCGTGCTTGACCTCTGCAGCTCGTGTTGGAGCTCTACACTTCATGCTTGACCTCTGCAGCTCGTGGTTGAAGTCGGAAGCAAGTGTTTGAGCTCTACAGCTAGTGGTTGACCTCGGCAGCTCATGTTTGAACTCTGCACTTTGTGCTCGACCTTTGCGGCTTATGGTTGACCTCAGCAACTCATGTTTGAGCTCTGCACTTCGTGTTCGACCTTTAAACCTCATGACTGACCTCGGTAGCAAGTGTTTGAGCTTGTCAGCGCACAACTCATGCTCTAGCAAGGACACTGCAGCTCGTTATTGTCGAACTCCCAGGGGGCTACTTGGGGCAACGTGTAGATGCTCTCTTCCTTCCACGGATGGGGAACAGGAGGCTATTGTAGATGTGCATGGTGTGTTCACGGGTAAATTCTTTGCGCCTCCAAATGGTTCGGTGATGCGACGTGGGCGGTTGAATGCCTTTGCTCTCAACAGAACATGAGATGAGACTGCTGGCTTCTCAGCAGCATGTGTTCATGATAGTGGTTGACTATCATCGCCGAATTGTGGTGTCCAGTCCCTCCAGAGCTTTCATCTAACACTGCCATCACCTTTCTCTGTCATTGGAACCATAGGCCTTTGTTCCCTAGCAGCTGATTGGAGGGATTTTGCTCTTCGATTTTGCAAGAACAAATTCAAAAAAAAGGAAGATTCCAACTTGCGTTACAGTAAAAGAAAATAAAATATTGGAAACAAAGTAAAATAATGAAAGGTTAAGATTTATCTCCTCAATCATCGCAAAGTGGTGGTCAAGCTCAAATGGTTTATTGCCCAGGGAGGATGCTTGTTGCAAGTTCGGGCTGACCATCATCATATTTTGTTGATTGCTCGCGTCTTCCTCAACGAGCTTCTTTACAAATTTGTTTGGTATGTGGTGACGAGCTGGGAGATAGCTTTGCTGCCGTCGAGCTGGGGCTGCTTTGTTCCTATCAAGCTACCGAGCTGGGAGAATGCTTGTTGCTGTCGTCAAGCTCGAGCTTGTCTTGCCTGTTTATCTTCTTGTGAAAGCTTCTCTTCTTTACAAGCAAATAAATCCATTTTGTAAATTTATCAGATTTATTTTGTGAAAACTTCTCTTTTTCACAAGCGAATAAACTCATTCTGTAAATTCATCAGATCTACTTCTGCAACTCAAAAGAATAGGCCATGGGCCTTTCACTCATCTTCTCTTCCCTCTAATCAACCGGATCAACATAGAAATAAAGCTTTTTATTCGATTCCCACAGACGGCGCCAAATGTAATTGCACCAAACCAGAAGTCATTCTTCAGTTCGCGTCTGCACTCCGAATTGACTTGCAAAGCCCCGAGGTGGGTCCTCCGAGAAGACACTCCGATACTTAAGTCGGCAATAATCGGGGCTACCTTTAGAGTGGAGATAAAAGGAGTTTAGGGTTGGTTTCAATTACCTTTTTGAGGTGGCCCCTGGGGGGTATTTATAGGCTCCAGTGAGGAACCCACGTGGCATGCCAAGTAAGATAATTGGAGTTTGATTGTGTCTATCCAGACGCATAGGCTCTAGTGAGGAACCCACGTGACATGCCAAACAAGATAATCGGAGTCTGATTGTGTCTATCCAAACGGTTATTTCGAGACTAGAAAATTGAGAGGTATTCTGGTGCGGGCATGCTCACTGTAACTATCATGCAGCTGTTTGACTAGGAAGTGCTTCACTTCGGTTATTAAGGAATTATAGCAGTAAGTCCGAGGTCCTTAACCCCGGACCTATCCTTACAAATACTCCATGCATCCCAAAGCTTCAAAGCCTTTTCAGTAATAGAGAATGCCATCTGTTGGAGCTATGGCATGAAAGCTGAAAATGTAGTGAAATGAGATCTGCTAAATGATGCTGCAACATGATTGCACAGTAGCAGCAAAGTGATAGTAACATGGAGCTTCACATGGGCTACAAGCAATGGCAGCAAACTTCATCATTTTAGTCAATGTTTTTGGTAGTTAATAATTATAGTTTAGGTAGAAAAATATTATTGTTTTATGTGTAGCCTTCCTCTATAAAAAGGAAGGAAGAAATTGATGAAAATTGAGAGAGAAAGACAAAGCATGTTTCTCCTCTCCGGTTGGGTGAATGCCTACACCCTTCCATGTTTATGGTTCTGTTATATGTTTGTGGTTATGTCTCTGGGTGTCTCTGCATCTCCTCCAAGCACTCTCTCAATCCCTCCCTTCTTACTCCCAAAAAAACCAACACCATCTTCTTCTTTTTCAAGTTAGTAGTAATTTCTTTGCCATTCTGATGATACTACAATAGTCTTAAAATTAAAGGAGCCAAGAAGATACGTTATAGTAAATTAATGCCTCCCTCAGTAATGATTCTAAACTAAACACAAATTAGAAAAAAGAGATTTTAGGGTTGTCAGGTTGGCAATATACCCGTCTCTGAAATTAATTAAAGAAGGGAGCTTTGGATTTTGTTTCATATTACTCCGATGCTGAAAGAGGCAGTTATGTGTGCCTATACTTTCTTATGCATGCCAACGCAGTCAGTACAATAATCCTCTTTTTTTTTTTGGTTAATAGTACACCAATCCGATCTGTTGGTCATGTGACCATCGCCAAGCCACTAACCCAAATTGCAAAGTGCAAACAAAAATAAGGCTGCTCCACCTAATTAATTCTCCATGCATTACTATAATTCAAAAAATTGTTATTTAGTGCAGGGGTAAATATAATTTACAAAATAATGTTATTAGGTGCACATAAATGTCTGTCTTTGTCTCTCCGCTTTGATCTTACCCAACAATTGGTATCATAAAAAATGTGACTATGCTTTTGAAATTGATCTTGATTTAAAAAATGTGTGGTTATCGATGATTTATGTATTTATTTTGATAATAATTATTTATGATTTATATTTATATATTTGCAACTTAAATTACGTAATACTCCAATTCTGAAAAGGTTATGCATAATTTTTTCAAGTGTGTGAATCCAATTCGTCCGTACCTCCTACTTTCTATTAGTGTTGAGATAATATTCCAATGCCAGCTAAAGGCTTAAAGGCACACACGCATCAACAACATGGAGCTCCAACTTGCTATAGTAAGGAATCAACGTAGTCTATAAAAATTATAAATACCAGTCAACTACATCATGCCCATAAGGTATTTGGTATTTCTCTCTCTAAGCCCATTATTGCTTGAGAGCTTCTATATTCATATTACTCCCCTGTCCCCAGCTATTGTTGATTTTGACATTGGAGTTCCAACACTCTCTCGGTGTGGTTTGGCTTAGCATGGGTAATACTTAATTAACCTTTTAGATTATAAACATGCGCACTTGGCTTTTATGCAATTTGACAAATAGTATTTTACACTACAAAGATGTGCACTTCATCCTTGTAATTCAAAGATTGTATACTTAACCGTAGGTCTATTAAATTTTAAAGACAAAATGTTAAAAATATTTAAAAATTAAGTGAATATTTTCTAAACAACAAGAGAATTAAGTACACCCTTTTATGATTTGAGGTTAAGCACACCCACTCACTCAGGAACTAAGGGCAAAGGGGAAAAATTTTGACATTAAAATGGTTATTTGAGGTTAGCCGAAAACACACTTTGAATGTGTATATTTTAAAAAAATAAAAAAAAAATTCTACCTTAAGATATGATTGTTTTAGAGGAAAAAAATGAGGGACGAAATCCAATCAAATCAAAACTATTGGGTAATAGTTGACATTGAAAATTTTTTCCTCCCCTTTCATCCCCTCTCTTCGTTTCCCTCAAAACATATACTGTTATTTGACATGCCAATGGTAATAGTTGACACTAAAATATGATTATTACCTCATATCTGGAAGGGAAAAAGGCTCGCCTGGCCTCACAGACCGTCTGGTAAATGGTGCAGCTCCCCAGCCACATGAGATGGGTTCAAACCTTTCCCCTTAACCTTAATAAAAAATTGTACTCCTTGTTGAAGAGGGAAAAAGATTACACTCTTAAAAATTTATAACTATCGTATCATTATCGCATTAAATAACAACAAAAGACAGATAATAAACAATTTAAAGATTCTTTTGTTTTTTTTAGTGGTATTCAAAGATCCTTTTAGGCTTGTTAAATCGTTGACACAATCAGTCGTTGATACCAACAACATGATCGGTTGGTATATTACAAGGCAGCGCCAATACAGACAATTTTAAACATGTATAAAACAACTCGATTAAATTTTAAGATAGGCTGCATCTTTTTAGCATCTAGCAGCATATATAAATGGAAAATGATTAGTACTTTATAATTTTTGTTGTACAATTTCTTATATAATCTTAGTGTCATTTAATGACAAACTCTTTTTACTCTACTGAATTTATAATATTATATGCATTTAATTATTTAATTACATATAAAAAAAAATTGTAACCATATATCATTACCCTATATAATATATAAATGTTGAAAGAATAATTCACTAGTAATATTATCTCATGATGATAAAGTCATGCAATCTTATTGACAGTAATTATGGTTGAGTATAATCAAATGAATTGAAAAAAAAAAAAAAAAGCCTAAAGCGTGTGTAAAATGTATTTAGGTGATTAAGAATTTACAGTTATTGCTTTGATTAATTTACATTTTGTCAATTCTACCATTCTTTTAAGAGAAATCAAAAAGAGTTAAAGTAAATTCCCTTTGAATTTTTTGTTTGAAAATTGAAGGGAAAGAAGCATACTTGTAAGAGGCCTCATTTGGATGATACTATAACGACAAGTTCCCAGTTGAGGCTTCATGAGATCACCTCAGTTCTGAAGGGCTGATGACAACATAATGGTGCCATAGTTGTGTCCCATTGCCAACTTTTTGAATCCCACTACGCAGTCAGCCAAGGTTTGGTGATTACTATACAATTGGAGTTGGTTTGCTGGAAGGTCTTATTAAGTTCAACACTCTCTTGGGGCTGCTAAGGGTGAAGCCTAAGAAGGTCCTGTTTAAGAAACGTAAAGGGAACAATATAAAAGAGAGGCTAGCCTGGCCATGGACAGAGCATATGTCATGAGCTTGTGATTACTTGATCTAGGCTAGTTAACTCGTTAATTAATGCCAAACAAGGCACAGCATATATCATGAACTTGGGCTCACCTTGTTATTGATGCCTACTTTCCTCATTACCCTGTTTAAACCCTCCAGTGCTGAAACTATTTCTTCATGTTCAGGATGTTCAATCTGACCCATAAAAAACATGGTGATATTTCCATACAGTTCAATAAAACTCCATCCAGGGACTTTTCTCAAGCCAAGACACCTCATTTGGGCCCATACCTTACCCACACCATCCCATCTACTCATTGAGGCATAGCAATGAGCAAGCTGAACATAGTTTCCAGAATCTGTTGGCTTCAACATAAGAACATCTTGGGCAATAAAATCAAGTAGTTCCCTTTTACTTGTGGCTCGACATGCATCAATGAGTATGCCTAAAACTTCTACTATAGGCTTGGAAAAATAGTCCTTGTAGAAGTTGTATGCCTCCTTCACCCTTCCAGCTCGACAGAGGAGATCAACAATGCAAGCACAGTGCTCAAGTTCTGGTTCAATCCCAAAATCTCTTGACATTGATTGGAATATGCTTAAACCCTCATTGACAAGCCCATTATGACTACAGGCAGAGAGAAGTGAAAGGAAAATCACCTTATTTGGTTCCAACCCAGAGTACAGAAACTCTGAGAACATGCTCAAAGCAGTCTCCCCTTTGCCATGACCACCATATCCTGCAATGATTGTGGCCCAGGATATCAGATCAGGCTGCAAGATGGTATCAAAGCACTTCTTGGCAGCATCTAAGTTACCACATTTGCAGTACATGTCCACTAAAGCTGTGTCTACCATGGTGCAAGGCCTAAGACAGCTTCTAATTACAAAGTTGTGAAGCAACTTCCCCTGATGGAGAGCCCCAATGGATGCACAAGCTTGAAGAAGAGTGACAACAGTCAATGAATCAGCTTTTTGAATGGTCACCCTCATTTCATTGAAGAGTATAAACGCCTTAGATAAATGGCCATTTTGGGCATATCCAGCTATCACTGCATTCCAAGAAACCAAATCTCCTTTTTTCATCCCCTTAAATACAGCACAACTTTGTTCCATATAACCACAGTTGGCATACATGGTAACAAGAGAATTTTCCACAGCAACATCCACTATCATTCCCTGCCTTATTATGTAACCATGAATTGAGGTCCCTAAATGAAAGGAACTGACCTGTGCACAGGCTGCAAGAGCACTAGCTATGGTTGTAGTAGATGGCTCAACTCGTGATGTTATCATCTGAGAGAAAACCTTCAATGCCTTGTCAGCAGAATTGTTTTTCACAAGCCCAGAGATCATAGCTGTCCAGAGAACCACATCTTTTTCCTGCACCCCTTCAAAAACTTGAAATGCAAAATCACTATTCCCACATCTTAAATACATAACCATAAGAGATGTTTCAACATGTGCATCTAAATCAAATCCAGCTCTTAAAATCTTCCCATGCACTGCCTTTCCCAAGTTGAGATTACTCTGGGCTGCAATGGCAGAGAGCAGAGAATCAAAAGCCTGCCTGTCAGGCTCCATGTTTTCAAGCTTCATACTATGTAAAAGCTGCAATATTTCTTCAGCATTCCCTATCTGTGCATAGCCTGAGATCAAAGAATTCCAAGAAATCAAATCCCTTTGGCCCATCAGTTCAAACAGGTTCCTTGCATCCTCAATGCTTCCGCACTTACCATAAACGTTCAACAAAGAGTTCACCAAAGCTATGTCAGACTCAAAACCATACGAAACTACACGACCATGCAAACCCTTCACGTAAACCAGCTCAGAGACCCCAGACAGCAAGCCTAACAAAGTCACAGGGCTAGGCTCAACACCCTGGTACCGCATTTCATTATACATACAAAAGGCAGTATCAACATCTCCAGCGTTAGAATAACAACGAATAATGGAAGTCCAAGGAAATACATCTCTTTCAGGCATTCTGTCGAACACTTTTCGAGCACTGCTGATGTGACTGAACTTGGCATAGAAATTGATCAAAGAAGATGAAATATAAGCATCCGAAGAGAACCCAAGAGCGATAATACGCTGGTGCAGTGAAAGGCCGAGAGGGATGAGTTTTATAAAAGTGCAGGCTTTGAGAAGACCCGGGTATGTGTATAAATCCGGAGGAATGTCATTGTCGAGCATGGAGATATAGGTAAGTAGAACTCCAAGGTGATCGCCCTGAGATGAGAGACGATTGATGACGAAGTTGAATGATTTGGTGGCGGGTTTGATCTTGTTCATCCCAGGTACCAATTACCTGCAACAATCCAGTCAAAAGAGACAGATCGTTGCAGGAGAAAGTTGCTGCTCTATTTAAGAGAATGGCCATCTGGGTTCGTGTTTTTTCTTTTATCAACAAAACATCCCATCACCATAATCAACTGACCTGGAGAAAAAGTTCGTAACTTTTCCCTGAAAATTTGAGTCTTTATTAAAAAGTTTCATAACAGAAATCGAAACCAAGCATCGGGGCTGTGGAAATGGCGACACAAAACTTCGTTAAAATTGGTAGCCACAGTTTTGCTGTTATTTTATTAGTTTATATTGTGATTTTTTTTTTAATAATTAGATATAATATATAAAAATATCTATTTACAAATTAATTTTAATTTTATAATAAATATTAATTATTTTATTTAAGGTTTATATATTTTGTACCCTAAGTGCACAAATAAGAAATAATAATTGTATAGTTATCAGTGTTTTTATCTTAAAAATAATAAAATTGACTTTTATTTTAATTGTAAATATTATGTGTTATTTTTTTATTCATTCATTTTTAAATTAATATCAAATTTTATTTTTTAATTAAAAATCTTACATCTTTTAAGAAAACAAATTGACAATTATTATTTACTAATTAAGTTTTATTATGTAGCATTAAAACACAAAATAGACAAACCATTTTATTTATTATCAATTATTTTTAATAATCAAATTAAAAAAATTACAATTTATAAGCCATTGGTGACCATAGCCCCAGCCCTAAGTCCTGAGAGTGTTAATAATTATATAATTCAGGCGATAGGGCAAATTTTTTCATGCAGATTTATCAATGGCTTGTTTAAATGGGAAAATTCTTGCAACTGGGTACATATTCATTAGCACCTAGCAGCTTACATAAATACAAATTTTTTCCAGTGAATGTATTTTTCTCCAAGTATGTAGTACATCCACCATGCCAGGGGAAAATTCAACTAGTAGAACAACCAAATTGAGATAGGAGTATAATGTCTTCGGAGCAAATGGTATTAATTTCACTTTTTATTCGGATATTCCCTCGGACCAAAAATGGTAGATCCAATTCTGACATTAGTACTGCTCATTTCAATCTGCAATAGCAATAGAATTCATAAATTAGTGAAACCATCTTTTCTATGCGTGAGATGTCATTTTTACATACTATGTACATTGCAAATATGAAGAATATAGAAGGATGGAACGTATTTCTTACAGCTTGCTCAAAGTCAGCAGACATGCCCATTGATAGTTCACATTGCTCTTCTGGTATTCCAAGATCCTTGCATACCTCTGTCCGGCAATTTGCTAAAGTCTGACAGTGAAAAACAATCTTTGTAATGATTATGAGAACGTAATAATAAAATGAAAACTAATTTAAAGGGGAAATGTTGATAATCACTTTGAAGTTTTCTGGAGTTGATGAATAATCAAGCATCCCAATTGTCATTAAGCCACTAAACTCAAGGTTTGGGCAGCTCAAACTAATGTGTTTTGCGAGTTCCACACACCCTGAAGGCTCAACACCAGATTTTGCTGCAACAATATAATGCAAATCAAACAACTTTGAACTGATACTACCAAATGGTCAGTTGGTCACAACCCAAACTTGAGAATAAATCCCTCTAACACAACAGAGTTGAGTCCAAGTGATTTGGGGTTGTTTTCCTAATATTAAAATTACAATAAGAACAAGATGTAGTCAGGAAAGTGAAACACCAAATCAGTATTACTACCAGTAATTGTTTTAAATAACAAGACAAGTAGTAACAAACAAAATAATGCTATGATTTCAGAACAAGCATGATGTGAACCATCACTTAAATTTCATTCTAACTTAAAATGCTATAGTTTAGTAGTCTTGACATAATCTGATAAACTTACATTCTTCTCCACTTGTATTCACCTGGACAAACACTTTCAAAGGCTTTCTTCCAATGCTACCAACAACACGATCAAGAAGATTAGCAATCTGAACAAAAGAAAGCACAAGTACTCAGTATTGTGATTGAGACTGAAACAATTTCACCAATCTTTCATGTAAATACTTGATTAACTTTTCCAAGGGGCTAAGGATGGGTGCCTGCAGGTATATGAAACATAAAACACCTAATTGTCACTTTACTAAGTATACTTGGACTTATTAACCTAGTCATATGAAAAAATTATCAAAGCTTAGAAAACTGCTTATATTCAAGTTATCAAGAAACATCCAGGCTTTGCTCTGATAGATTTTTGGTGGGCAAAGACAATATGTTTTCTCAATTCAACAACATCAAGTAGCAAGATATTATTTTATGGTTCCATCACTGAAATTGGATAAAGTATGTCACCTTCTGGTCGTCTACACTTTCTACCACTGCAAGGTTCGGTACACCAGCTGCAGAACAATGAATATCACATGAATAATGTATTGTAAATCTCTCTTTAAGTACTAAAATGAATTAAATAGTTCTGCTTCTAGCATGCAGCAACTTAAGTAATAAGCTGAGACGATAACATGACCTTTTTCATTTCCAAACACATTTACATTAAAATGAATTTAAAGACATACATGTCTTTGCTGTTCAAATAACAATATGATTCGTTAGTTAAACAGAAAAGTAGAATACAACAGCACGATAAATGTTACACTTACACCAAAATGGCAAGCAGAGAACTTTAAGGGCAAGCTGGCTTGAGTCTCGAGGGCAGAGATAGGGGAACTAATCTTATTAATTTCTCAGCAGCTAGATCAAAATACTCCACCTTTAAGGCAAAATCATACCATTCATTCCCAAGCATACATCTTTTTTAAATTCAACACCTTAAGTACTAACATAATTGAGCCATAAAACCATGTGCTTTTACTGCTTATAGCTTTATACCACAAGAACATACAAAACAATATCTTGAATAATGGAACTTGTACAGAAGATTACACAAAAAGTAAGCTTCATAACTTAAAAAATCGAAAATTCAAGTGATAAGCAAACATACTCATTAGAGGCTTCACTTTATTGCTCTGTAAATTTCCAATAAAATGCCACTCGATATCATCCGGAAGCTGCAATTGCAAATTTGAGAATGGTAAGTTCCAAAAAAAAACAACCCTTTCCATTTCGTTTTGTTTCAGAATTCAAAGTGAATTGTAAAAACACATAATAAACAAATCGATGGTAGAAAGGACACCTGAGGGGCTTTCTCGACGATTTCTTGAACGTAATTCTCGCCGAAACATCGGTGACCAGCATCATAGACTTGGCGAATTAGAGAGACGGATTTGGTCTTGCTAACGGCAACGACCCGGATACGCTGCGACCCGCGGCCAGACCGCTCAGCTGCCTGGTGAACCCTCTGGAGCACAGAGTGTAGCGCAGCTGCTGCCACCCCGTCTATCGCCGCCATCCCTGGTTGCGCTTCTTCCCCTTCTGGTCTACTGTTGTTGGTATCTTCTGGATTGTTCATCTGAGCTGTGTTCTCCCTGGGGTGAGTTCGATTCAGGGACGTAGACCCTGCGTTTTAATTAAGGTGATAATCTAAAGTACTTTATTATTGATTTTTTTTTTTTTTTGGAATTTTTAGGATTTTAGGGAATGAGAATTTTTTTTATGTTATCGGTGAGAATCGAATTTTTAACAGGATAAATCTGAGAATCGAATTCTTAACGAATTAAA